TAAAATCTGGATATAAATTATCCAAATGCTTCCATGCTGGAGAATCTAAAGGATGTCTCATAAACTCATATTTAGGACATTCAATTGCATGCCACCTCATATGTTCAGCCGTATGCTTCAATATAAAAAATCGTTGCAATCGTGGTTTTAAAGGAAAATACCACATAACCTTAGCTGCGATCTTTTTTCTCGACCTATCTGCTGCGTTGGTAATTTTATATCTTGATTCACCACAAACCGAGCACACGGTCAAATCCGAAGTATCTTTCCAATAGATCATGCAATCATTGGGACATGCATCAATTTTCACATACGTCAGACCCATGTCATTTATAAGTTTTTTTGCCTTATAACAAGATTCAGGCAAACAATCCCCTTTAGGCAACATTCTTTTAATTAACTCCAGTAAAATTGTGAAGATCTCATCTGCCATTCCCGCTAAACACTTGATCTAATTCAGTCTTATAACTGCTTCTAATTTCTTAAACTCCTTACACCTTAGCCACAAATCTTGATCTGTTTCTTCAAGCAACCTAAAAAAAGTCTCCACCTCTTCTGGACGCCCTTCCCCAATAGACGGTTCAGTAGACGGCCTAACACCTTCTTCTGTTAATGGTTGGACAAATACATCATTAAGAAAGTCATACATGCCAATCACCTCATCTCCTGTTTCTTCTTCTCCAATTACCACATTTTGCTCTCTAATGTTTTGCTCGCCATGATGTCGCCAGCAAGCATTTTTATAATCTTTATCCATATCATACAATATGAGATGTTCAACAATAGTGTTCCTAACAAAAGTATATCGATTACAACATTTTTTGCAAGGACATCTAAACTTATCAAGACCAACACCATTTGCAACTGCTTGATCCAAAAACAAATTAATTCCAGCTGTATACGCTTCAAAATTTCGGGGTATCGTCAACCAACTCTTGTCCATGTTTTACCAGTTTACGAGGGTAAAATATTACACTGACACTAAGATGCCTACAATATTGCAATCCCTATCATGTAGGCATAACTATTAGAATTTTCAATTTCTATCTTTCAACCCTCGAACTCTATCATGATTGCAATCTTTTAATTTTCAACATCTATTATAGTAAAAACAAATTAAAATAACCGCAAAAAGTTATCAAAATTATGCTCATCTAATCCATTCTAGTAAATAACAACCAAAAGTTATCAAAATAACAATTATAGTGCAAAAGTTATATTTAATATTGTTAATTTAACATAAATGTTTATAAATATTATTCATTCCATTTTCTCATAACAATTCAAATTGTAAAAAAAAAAATAATTTAATATTACTAAAAATTATAAGTTTATGTTATATTAATATTGTTAATTTAACATAAATGCTTATAAATATTATTCATTCCATTTTCTCATAACAATTCAAATTATTCTCATCTAATCCATTCTAGTAAATAACAAAAAAAAATTATCAAAATAACAACAAATTAAAATAACAATTAGAGTGCAAAAAAAATTAATTTAACATAATATATTCTTAAATTACTCAATATTATAAGTTTATGTTATATTTAATGTTGTTAATTTAACATAAATGCTTATAAATATTATTCATTCCATTTTCTCATAACAATTCAAGTGCCAAAATTAATTAATTCGACTAAATAATAATTAATTTAACAAAAATAGTAGAAATTTATCTAACTACTTAAATTACAATTTTTAAATAAATAAACTTGTGTATTATACAATTTAAAAATTAAAGAATTTAGTGATAGAAACCTGAATTATAGAAGAATTTTGTCGTCGATCAATTCTTTATGTACTCAACCAGCTCAAATAAATTCCCTACAAAAATAAATTGTATCTAAAAATTAAACATAAGACGAGAAAATAAAAATATTACATGCAAGAAAAACTTACCGTTGTGAAGAATGAACTTGCAAGAACACGGGAAGGTGAAAGAGAAGAAGAAATAAGAATGGTGAAAGAGAGAGAACACCAGAAGGCTTTGTAAATCGGAAGAGTGAATGAGATAAATGCAAGAGAAGAAGAAGAAAACACGGGGGAGGGTATATAAAGACCATCAATCTGTCGCTTACAACCAACACCGGGTTTCAAAATATTTAAAAAAATAAAATATATGTCGCTTAGAACAGACGCAGGATTTAAAATATATAAAAACAACAATTAGTGTCGCTTCTATGCGACACCCATACTTTATGTCGCTTAAAAGTGACACTGTTTTATTTAAAGCGATGTCAGTATTTAAAATTATTAAAATGTGTGTCGGTTATAAGCGATATTAAATGTTTACGTCGGTTTAAAAGCGACGCAGGCTTTGTAAATCCGACGTCATATTTAGTGGGTGTCGCAACTCTCTTGTGCGCCACTATATTATATTAAACCAACGCAACAACTGACACTATAAGGTCCTTTTGTAGTAGTGATTGCCATTTTTTTTTTTTGGAGGAAGCATTGTCATTTTTGGCTTACATTTAGCCACGTGAAGCCTATTTATAGGTCTTTCAAAGCAACACCATTTTCTTTTTGTAAGGGTACTTCAAAGAAAAGTTCGAAATTAGTTAAGTGTTGAAAGTTAATATAGTATCGATTCTGCATATACTCTTTTCTCTAAACCATGCATCTTCTTTCGTGCTAATCAAATTAGATGTGGGTCTTTTGTTGTTGAGAAAATTTATCGTATCCATAATGAGTTTGTAATTTTGAAATTGTAGTGTTCCTTTAGGCATGCGTGACATTTTGGTTATATTTGACATGTCCATTCTATGTACACTCATGATTGGTTTTTAGATAAGTTTTTATTACCTTAAAAAAATATAATATCAATTCTGACTGACCATTTTTTTTTTTATTAAAACAAGAAAGCTACGCTACAACAATGAACCACCTACAATGAGCTTAAATTGATCACCGTATATGTATGATCATCGCGTTTATATGAGTTGACCATAATAACATGGTCCAACTAAGTTAAAATAGTTATCACTAACGAAATGCTAGTGCGAAAATTTGTTTCAAATACATGATACACAAATATCAAGCTAAGTTAAAATTATTTTTAATAAGTCCTGATTTGACAATTTATTTTCGGAAACCCAAATTGATACACATTAACAGATAATTACTAGAAGGTAGAGGAAAAAAACACTAACCGCTAGAGAGAAAAACCAAAACGGTGAGGTTCGAGACAACGTGATCTTTTGCTTCTCTTTCTCTTATATGGAATTTTGTTGAGCTTTTCAAGTGATGGACTTTTACGAATTTAGCACCTTTTTACTGAGTATTATAATTTATACACTCCATAAAATTTCATAGGCATTTAATAATATTTTTTATTTTTTTTGGAAAAAAAAAAAGAGTTAAATGATGAAACTTTACAGAATACTAGAGAGGTTCAATGCTAGAATTATTTAGAATTATGTGGATTTTCGAGGACTTTCTAATACCAATTAAGTTTTGATGATTAAAATGGTGATCACGACATTGACAAAGAGGTGATGATGACAACGATGGTGATGATATGGTTATTGTGGTGGCGAGGTTGTATTGGAGTGGTAAAGGAGTTGGGATGGGGGTGGTGGTGATGAGGTGGTGATGATGGTGGTAGACATGGCGGTCATGGTGATGGTGATGCAGGTGGTGGCCATAGCAGGTAGTGATGACACTCATGGCAATGATGGGTAGTAGTGGCGATGGTTTCTATGTGGTGGTGGGAGTGGAGGAGATGGTCATGGTAAGGTGGTGGTAGCAACATGGTGGTGGAAGTGGTGATAAATATAGTCATTGCAATATGGTAGGTGGTGGAGTATATCATCAAGGAATTGAGAAAAACGAAATCCACCAGTCTTAGGGGGGAGATTGGATTTGCTATGACAAAAAATTTACTATAAAAGCATTCAAAGTCCATCAAATCTATGACTTATTAAAATCCTTTAAAATAAGTGAAGTTTTGAATACAATTGATTTTTGTAAATATTGTGTAAAATAAGAGAGAGAGAGAGAGAGAGAGAGAGAGAGAGAGAGAGAGAGAGATATATATATATATTTGTACTTTTATTATTTCATATAATGAAAGAAAATATTATTGCTGCCTCGAGAACGTAGCCGTATTTGCTTAACCTCGTAAATATTGTGTTTTATTATTTCATGATGATTTTTGTTGACTCCTTAAAAGCCTATATTGAATACACTTGAATTTGAGAGTCAAGCAAAGTCCATTAAACTCTATATACAATAACCTTCGTAATATTTATGGTAATGGCCGCTCTTTCGCTCTGTTGAGAGAGCCTTTTGTAGCATATATATATGACTTACTGCTTAACCTTTAATCGTAGAGCGACAACTGTTCTTCAAATATGGTACGGTGGTTTTGTAGTTTTTGGGATTGGCAACAACTATGAAAATGCCTCATACTAAGATTTGTTGCCAACATGCATGATCAACAAATGGTGGTGTGATCTTACCCTCAAGATGCCGTTTTAATGGTTTGAGGGATTCAAGCCATGTTCTTGTCGTGTGTTATTGCAAGGTCTTCGTATGATGGTATGTTCTCCCGTGACTAAATTATTGTAGGGTTTGAGTTGTGTTGTTAACTTTTTTTCTTTAAAGAAAAATTGACACCTATTAAAAGCACGATTATCGTAATACAATAACAACTATTATATGTACGTACATTAAAAAAATGACCTCGGATCCTTACTTAATGAATTAATTAGAAAGATTGCTCGTATCAAAACTCCCATCTATTTCTTGTAAACAGAGAGGAAGAAAGAGATAGAGAGAAAGAAAATGTATGTATTATTTTTCAATTCAATTCAACAACATTAACACTGATTACATTGTGTATATATCTAGCAACATTGCTTAGATATTAAGCTAACATAAGACTCTTAAGATGTTGACACTTGTCACAACCTTACACCATAGACTCTTAACCAACTTAACTACCTCACATACATCCTAACCATCTCACACACATGCACATATTATAGTTATCATCCTCCCTCAATCTCAGAGTGGAGCTTGCCAAGGCTGAGATTGTAGCAGTGTGTTTGAAATAGAGGAGCAGACAACCCCTTTGTAAGGATATCAGCGAACTGCTCATTGGAGGAAACAAAGTGCACCTGCAGAAGCTTCTTTGCCACCCTTTCTCGGACAAAATGAACATCAACCTCAATATGTTTGGTCCGCTGATGCATGACAGGATTATATGCAAGGGCAATAGCAGAAAGATTATCACAGTACAGGGTCGTCGGACAAGGCACATCAATTTTCAGAAAGTGAAGAATCTGTTTGATCCAATCAATTTCTGCAGAAGTACTGGAGAGGGCGCGGTATTCAGCTTCTGTAGAAGAACGAGAAACTGTATTTTGTTTCTTGGATGACCAAGAAATGGGATTTGGCCCGAGAAACACAACTAAACCAGTAGTAGACCATCTGTCATTAGGGTCGCTAGCCCAATCAGCATCACTGAATGCATGAAGATTCAAGTCTCCTTTGCGAAACTGAATGCCAAGGTCCATAGTCCTTTTTAAATAGCGAAGAATCCTCTTCACAGCAGCATAATGAGAGTCCATTGGACAATGCATGAATTGACAAACCTGATGAATCGAGAAGGAGATATCGGGCCTTGTGAAAGTGAGATATTGAAGAGCACCCACAATGCTTCTATAGAGAGAAGGATTATTGAAAGGATGGCCATCATCTTTCAATAACCGATTATAAGGCAAGCAAGGTGTGGAGCACGGCTTAAAATGAACCATCTCAGCTTTAACCAACAAATCAGACACATATTTAGACTGAGAGAGGAACAGTCCACTTGCATTCTGTGTGATTTGGATCCCAAGAAAATAATGAAGAGGACCTAAATCTTTAATATCAAACTCCTCAGTCAAAGCTGTAATCACTGCAGCAATAGGGACAGAATGACTCCTTGTGATGATAATATCATCCACATAAAGGAGGAGAAGGACCACAGAATGTCCATCATGCTTGACAAACAAAGACGGATCAGAATATGTTGAAAGGAACCCCAGAGAAGGAAGAAAAGATGTGAACCTCTCATTCCATGTTCTCGGGGCTTGTTTTAAGCCATACAAAGACTTATGCAATCTGCAAACATGTGTAGGATGATGTGGATCACTAAACCCTGGTGGCTGGGACATATACACTTCCTCATTAAGAATGCCATGAAGAAATGCATTCTTCACATCGAGTTGACGCAAAGACCACCCAAAATGTGCTGCCAAGGCTATGACCAACCTTACTGTTGTAGGTTTGACAACCGGACTAAACGTCTCTCCATAGTCAATACCCTCCTCTTAATTGAAACCTTTGGCAACAAGCCTTGCTTTGTACCTGGAAATAGTCCCATCAACATGTCTCTTAAGCTTGAAAACCCATTTGCAGCCTACCAAATTCTTATTATGAGGTAATGGGACCAAAGACCAAGTATGTTGTGTTTTAAGAGCAACCAACTCTTCTTCCATAGCAGAAAGCCATAATGGAGACTTTAGAGCCGACTTATAGGTGGCAGGTTCCATTTGAGAAAGATCAACTGAATCAGCATCTTGAACCACAGAAAGAAAAGCTTTCTTCTTCGAAATACCATTTTTTGCTCGGGTTTGCATAGAATGAGTGTTCATAGGAGGAATAGGAAGAAGAACCTGCAATCTGTCAGGTTAAAACTCATGTTGTATGGCAACACCAGGAGCACTCGAAGGCAGAGTAGGAGACTCATGAAAGATCTCAGAACAGGACACATTTGGAATCGCAGGAGCCACAGAGAATGAAGAAGATGATTGGTGGCATGTTGATGCAGTAATGGACTGTAATGGAGTAGAAGTACCACTGTGTTGATCAGAACATGGATGTGACATAGGCTCTGGCATACTAGGTGTCCTAGAATGTGGAAGGGACACAATATGATTGGTACCAGTGACTAAAATGAATGGAGATGGGGAAGAGGGTACAGATGTAGAGGTGGAGTGAGTAGAGACAGAACATGTGGCAGACAAGGTAAGATATGGAAACTCTGACTCATCAAACATTACATGCCTGGAAATATAAAACCGGGTATGAACAATGTCATAGCAAATGAAACCTTTGTAACTGGAAGCATAGCCTAGAAAAATGCATTTGATTGTCTTGGGTTGTAACTTGGTATTGTTATATGGTTTTAGTAACAGAAATACTGAGCAACCAAATATTCTGAGATGATGAACATCGGGAATATCATTAAACAATAGTTCAAAAGGAGATTTATTATAAAGTGTAGGTGAGGGCATTCGATTGATAAGATAAACAGCAGTTTGGACAGCAAAAGACCAGAAAATTGGGGGTAAGGAAGCTGTTTGTAACAGGGTTATAGCAGTTTCAATGATATGCCTATGCTTCCGTTCGGCTAACCCGTTTTGCTCAGGTGTATAAGGACAGGATAGTTGATGTTTGATGCCTTTGTCCAACAAAAACTTTTGAAAAGATTTACTAAGATATTCTCCTCCACCATCACTTTGTAATGTTTTAATGGAAGTGGAAAAATGATTAGAGACAAAATTAGAAAAACCAACAAAGGTAGAGAAAACATCACTTTTATTAAGAATGGGAAACAACCAACAATGTCTAGTGCATTCATCAATGAATGTCACATAGTACCGAAAACCATCTATCGAAATACAAGGAGAATGACCTCATACATCCCGATGAATGATTTCAAATGGGTGGAGAGACTTAGACACAGATTTAACAAAGGGCAATTTACAAAACTTGCCTTCCAGACATGTATGACACATTACAGGCAAGGAATCAGGTGAGACAAACAGATTACACTTCTTTAACATGACAGAGACCACAAAATTAGATGGGTGACCTAACCTACTATGCCAAAGACTAGAAGATACTTGACGGCCAAGATAGGCAGCTTGAGGCTGAGAAGAGATAGCTCGAACTCTTGCTGGAAGTGGTATAGGATACAATCCATTACTGCATTTGCCTTGAAAGAGAATCTTCCCTGTGGCTTTGTCCTGGATCCAAAAACAAAAGGCATCATAGATCAACCAACAATGATTATCTAAGCACAATTGATGCACAGATAACAGGTTCTGAGATAATCCAGGAACACAAAGAACTGAATTTAATTGCAATGATTTTAAAGGAGTATGAAGAGTGGAGGAACCAATATGAGATATTGATAAACCTGCACCACTCGCAGTCTGAATGGTTTCATCAGTAGGGTATGAAGAGGCCAGGGACATATTACTCAAGTCAGCTGTCATATGTGAAGATGCTCCAGAATCAGTGAGCCAAAATTGTTGAGGAGGAGCACTTGGCTGATGATGTTGTGATGAAGAAACATGCAAAGCAGTGGGATCTTGAGTAGAAGGGTTAGAGTTTCTGAAATGGCAATATTTAGCACTATGATTCTTCTTCCCACAGATTTGACAACCCTCAGAAATGGTACTATCAGAATTCCGGAATCGGCATGTTGGAGCAAAATGGCCAAACTTGCCACATATTTGACAAGAGTTACTAGAAACACCCTGTTACTTTGGTGGAGAATAACCAAGAATGCCAGGAGCCGAATTATAATTGCCATAAGTGGACTTGGAATTTCCATACCGAGACTGAGAATTGTACTGAAATTTCCCTTTGTATTTGTTCTTGCTTTGGTTTGGCCTAACCCCAGAAGGACCGGATGAATAAAATGTAGACGGAGAAGAACCACCATAAGAAGTATCAGTGGTAGAACCCTCAGGTTTAGAAACACTGCCATTATTTCGAGCAACCATAGCAGACAAGAAAGGTGTAATGGGAATGTTTTCAACCATTGCTTCCTCAGCAAGTAACTGAGATCGGAGATCTTTCTTGGAGATGACATTTTCACGGCCTCGAATAATAGATCTCAGAGTATTATATTCAGATGAGAGACCATTCAAGGTCAAAATCACAATATCGTCATCATCGAACTGAACTCCAGCAGCAAACAGATAATCACGAGCTTCTTTAATGCGTTGCAAATATATCGAAATCGAATCCGTACCTTTCTTGATGTTCTGTAATTCAGATTTCATCTGAAAGATCGTTGCTCTAGTGACAATCGAAAATTGTTCTTTGAGACGCTGCCACAGATCATGAGCGCTGGAACTACCAATGGCACAAGAAACTGCTGAAGGAGATAAAGTAGCTGTGAGTAATTGCATCAATGCCCGATCGTGCATTTTCCAAACCTTGAAGTCATCACTTTCAGTCGAAGATGAAACATCACTCGAAGGGACAGAGGAACCTTCAGAAATAGGGACATTGAATCGAGCAGGACATGGATGAGACCCATCGACAAAACCCATAAGACCATGGCCTTCAAGTAGCAACTCGATCTGGAAATTCCAAGTTAGATAATTGGAATCATCAAGTTTGACAGTCACAGAAGAAGAAATTGTGGATATGAGAGACGTGATGGGAGATTGAAGAATCTGCAGTTGAGCAGAAGTCACCATTACAACCGAAGAAGGAAGAAATCGATATGAAGAATTTCTTAGAGGAATTATAACAAACACTTGGTGTGCAAAGAGAAGGTTGCACCCACTCGAAGACACAGATAAAAATCAAGGCCCGGAGAGAGAAAAAGAAGACAGACCGTTGATGCAGAATATAGAGCGGAAGCAGAAGATCAAGATCGAGAAACCTTCAAGCCGAAGCTTTTCAGGCGAATGATACCATGTAAACAGAGAGGAAGAAAGACATAGAGAGAAAGAAAATGTATGTATTATTTTTCAATTCAATTCAACAACATTAACACTGATTACATTGTGTATATATCTAGCAACATTGCTTAGATATTAAGCTAACATAAGACTCTTAAGATGTTGACACTTGTCACAACCTTACACCAAAGACTCTTAACCAACTTAACTACCTCACATACATCCTAACCATCTCACACACATGCACATATTATAGTTATCATTTCTTATTAAGGAAATCAATCTGAATCTAATAATATAACGACGACGATGATGATGATTGTGTGCTTTATATAGTCAATCATAGTAGAGTTAAAGTTCAACATAAAAAACTGACCGTTGATTAGCATTATGTTGCGATTGACACCTTTAAATTGTCCACAAGTGACTCTATCCTTTTCCTCTCTCTCTATCCCACATCATTCTATCCTAGGATCACCCACACCCTACCACAACCTCACATGAATATTAAAAAATGGTCCCAAAACTTCATCGGTAGGCGCCAACCATCAAAGCTTATAGCTTTTGCCCAACAACTCTCTATATAAACGCTTTCAAGTTCCCATTGCTGTCTCACAACCATATAAGCACTCTCTCCTCTTCACATTCACAACCAAAAACCACCACGTAAGTTTACAGATTGTGAACAGCTAAAACCAAAATCCCCATTCTTCCAAATTTTCAATTTTAGCGGTATATATTTTTATTTTGATATCAAAGATGGATTACCAGTATGTTCTTGGTGGGGTGTTGGTTTCTCTGCTGGGGTCTGTTTTCTTCATGATCATCAACACCACTCTCAGCGGCGAGAAGAAGAAGGTGGTCGAGAAAGATTCCCGCGGCATTAACGGAGATGGGTACGTGAGAATGCCGTCCCAGAACGGCAGTTTTCACCCGGAGATTGCCAGCGGCACGGATGTTGTCATTGTCGGTGCCGGAGTTGCCGGTGCTGCCCTTGCTTACACTCTTGGAAAGGTGACAAAATAATTCTCTCTACATATAAAATGAATGTTATGGTTTTTAAACAATTCCCAAGTTCCAAGTTCCAAGTTTTAATTTTTTTAATTTTATAAATTTAGAAATTTGATGGTGAATGAATAAGCAGTCAAAGCTTCAAAGCCGTGTTTGGTGACAGTGAAAATTAAAGAAAAATTGCATTTCCTTGCTTTTTGAACAGAAGAAGTAGTCGTTTAATCATTATTTATTAATTAAAATGTTATTACTTTTTAAAATCTATTTTCCTCAAACAAACCCAGCTAAGCAGTCAAACCTTCAAAGCCGTGTTTTCTGACATTTTCTTTTTTTATTGTTCTATCTATTTTTAGCGAATAAGCACTTAAACTTATATTCTATGAATTTTAAATAAACGTTTTTTCCGCCCTTTTGGGGTGATGATTTCAATAGTGCAGTCCAATTTACTTTTAACG